TCTTGTCCGATCTCCATTTCGGTATGGGCACTCTTCACAAACAATCGATCGCCAGTTGCGAGTGACACCTCTTTGGCAGCGCAGCGCGCTTGAAAGAGAGAAAAAAATGCACTGAAATCCTATGTTTGGCTCCTTATGGCCCCATTTCTGGGCAATAGTCACCTCAAGACGAACTCACCGCTGCGGGATTTTTTTGTCTGCCCCGTACATGAGGGGTTCCAGTCACTTTCAGACTTCACGGTGCCTCTTCCTGTTGAAACTCGTCCGCTGGACGCTGGAGGTGAAGCGGCCACTTCAAAGCTCCGTGGGGGGAGGAGATCAGCAGCTCTTCGCCTGGAGCCGACTCTCCCAAAAACCGAAAGACCCAAACCGGGGGAAAAGGAAGTAGGGCGCCGCCGTTTAGGTGGTTTGGGTGGTTTGGCGCCATACATCCAAGAAAGTGTGGTGTAGATGTGGTTGGACGTTTGCATTTGGTGCACTCATGAAACCTTCAAACATCGCCAAGAATCCCGCACCTCCGCGGTCAAATGAGAATCGATGATCGCCGTGGGGCAGAGACACCTGGCGGAGCCAGCCCAAGCCGCAATCAGAGCCTGGCACAGTGCTCCACCCAATGTAAAGACTCAGGCCGCAGGTCCGGACATGTCTCTTTGGCAAGGGGACTCTCCGTAAGGCCAACGTTCACAGGTGATTGTGGCGTAAAAACTCGTGAGAATGACCCACTTGGAAGCCACAGATGCACGGACAGGTATGGAATGACCCGTGGGAATCTGTCACAGTGAGGAGAACCAGCTTCAGTCAAACATATCTCAAAGTCGCAAACGACTTGGAGCATGTGATTCACATCTTTGAAATTGAAGGCTCACCTTTTGGTTCGCTTCTTAGATGAAGTAGATGGATATGTGTAAAACCTAACAAAATGTGCAAGTCCTGCTTGCAATAAGCCAAAAAAAGAAGTGTGCAGCCCAAAGCGGGCCGCGGCTTGGCGCCCGCCTCCCCAGCAGGCGTCCATGCCTTGCCGTACACGTCGGCTTCCAGCAGCAGAACCTGACATCAAAATGGGCTCAACATTTCTCCGATTTTGAAGATCCTGGACTCCAATTACTCACACCCTGCGAGGCGCAAGAAGGACCCTAAAGGCAGTATTTCAGTTGCACTCCCAGCCAAAGCCCCGGCAAAATCGGGAATCATATTCAATCATATTCAGAATTGAGTGAAAGTTGGGACTTCCAAATCGGTTGCCTTCTTCTTTCCACGAGATGCATACTCAACCTTCCAGAAGAACAAAAAGAAGACGCAGCCACACCGCCGCTACCTGCAAGCTCCAGTTCATTGCTGCCATCTTTGGCACGTCGCATGCGTGAAGCGACTCATGATGCCCCTTCTGTAGTTCCGGAAGGGACAACGCCAACCTCTTGCCACTCACACTCCGGAAACGCCCCGAAAGGTGATTCCGCGAAGGAAGGAATCCCAAAAGACATTCAAAGCCCGTGGGAAGAATGCTCTAACGCCAAACTGACCCCTACAACTAGTCAACTGCACAGGTTTCGAGTGTGGCTCATCATACGAATACGATCCGAAGACCACCGTTTGAGATTCAACATGGAATTCCAACCAAACTTGCTCCCAGCGTTGGCGTGTCAGCTCTCACAGGAACCGACAACTTTACCTGGGATGCTTGTTACGCTGGGACATGTCCTATACGTTTTGCAGGTTCGCGGTTTCTGGCAGTATCGTCGGGTGTTCATACAGGGCAGAACCCACAGTGTCAAAATAGGGGTGATTCAACAAATGAGTAGTGTCCTGTTGGTTCCCTTTACCCCCAAAAGGTACCCTCCCAAAGTGAACCACCCACTCGTATGAAGCCTCGTGAACCGAATCCATTTATTGACCGGCTAAAACTTCGAATGTTGGGGAAAACCCCCTGGGACGTCTGGTCAAGACTGGAACCCTGGACCCCGAAACTGGTTAGCTTTTGCCTCCCTTCAAACCCAGCCCAAAAAGGGTGCACCTCAAAAAGGAAAACACGTACCCAAAAACGGTCAAAGCTTCCGAACCTCTGGAACAACCAACCTCTTCCTTCCCAAAGACATGGACCTCCAACCCCATCTTCGAGTTCTTCGTTGGACTCGGAACCAACTGCCACGAGCCGCGGAATGGGCCCATCCGAAGTCCCGTCAACGGGGCTCGCACGCCCTCTTCCTCCTGGAAGGTCACCGCCGCGCGCAAAGTGCCTCGCTCCGGAAAAAAGAAGAAACAAAAAGAAGAAATCTACTTCCGGGCCAGCTGCGGTCAGCGTCCGGGGCGACCTTTTTTCTGGGCTGCCCTCAGATCCCCCGCCAAAAGGTTGACTTTTAGGGGGGTTAAATGGAAAGTACCACTAAACACCAAAAACGCTAAAAAGCTAAGGGGATAGCAACTTTACACCTCCAAAATTGAATTCAACGACTTCCTGGGTGGCCTTTGCAATCCTACCTCCAACCTCAAAAGGGCCCTAAAAAGAATACACTCCCTGGAATGAGCCGCCGCAAAAGAGAAGCTTCTTGCTGGGTTGGAAGAAAAACTGCCATGTTCGAAAATGCGAAGAGGCTAAAAGCTGGAAAGGTGAACGGTCACGCCAAAGACCTATGTTGCCCCGAGACGGAGATGGCAGGTCAAAGGATAGCTAACAAAAGCGGCCACCATAAATTCGCCACTTCTGGGAACATCCCCCACCTTGCCACCTTTTGCCTGGCGAATCCCTGGATTTGAGGCATGGGAAGTCTCCGGTTCGAAAAGGACCCAGAGATCGGCGGTTTGGGTCCTTGGGCAGTCCCTGCCAGGCCCGCTGAGCCGAGTTGCTTGAGCTTAAGCTCGCGTCGTGGCTCGCTCAAAAAAACCAAACGCAGCTTTTGAAGCTATTTTGGCGAGGCTGAAGCACACAGCCTTCCACGCCACTGTAGCAAACTGCCTTGGGAGGCTGTTTACATGGTTTGCTGCAAACACGAGATGGGTAGTGTCAAGAGACGGCAAGGTGACGTCCCGTGGGACGCTGTGCACCGAACCCTCAAGCTTTAATACCAACCACGTAGAAAGGTGTATACGGACGATGCCGTTATAGCCGAACCCGTGTAAACGTTGTAAGGAAGAAGGAATGATAGTTACGACAGTGGTCCTGACGAATGCAGCGCAAGCAGTTGTTTTGCTCTTAATGCCCGTCACGTATGTCGCAGTCACACATCAGATCTTGAACCTCAATTGTGTCTTGAGCCAAATGGCAATCAATGGAACTTGGGAAGCAACACCAACAAGGACCTCAGAACAGCTACCCAATTTCGGCACGGGGCCTAGAGGGTTTTAACATCCCCCATTTGGGTCGCATTGTTCATCATGCGGTCCAAACACCACAAAACGTTCCACTGGCCACGGCTTCAACTACGAAATCGTGTCGTGCATTCTTTTACTTGCTATCACTACACCGTTCATTCGCTGTGAAACATGCCGGGTTCGATTGTACGAAAAGTGAAACATTCATCCTCCAATCGAAGCACACATCCATATGCAGGTGTATATAATACACTGTGGCCACTTCACTTGACCGCCAGTGAACATTCCAGCTGCCGCATTTGCGCATCGCGCAGCTGTCATCCATAAATGGGTTGGCCACAAAAGTCCACCAGAGGCGCCCGCTTGTGATCGGTCTGCATATTTCCGGCAAAGAAACATCGGTGAGTAATCAATGCAAATCATAGCCATTCCAGATACCATGGACAATGCATAAATAATGAAAAGATATCATCTATAAGGTAATAATTCCATCCATGAATATCCAGAGCGTCATAGTCGTCGGAATATGTAACCATGTACACATCCATTCATCTTGGACACATGAATATAAATCATGACATAAGTCGTTCCACCGAAACAGTGTCGATGTGACGCAAGTAACAGATGGGGACTGGCCCACATCGTACCGCAATCATCATCTTCACGAAGCATACCTGTCCCCAATGGACAGCCTATGGGTACGTCGGCGGAACTCCTCGTCCAAGTTCTTCTGGGCTTCTCGTGCCCGGACACACTTCTTGTTGTAGTCCTCTGGCAACCAGTGCCCTTTCCGAAGGCACCAATCCAGCAGGGGTGTGTCGCATTTGTTCGGGTCGATGGCCGAGATGATGGCGCTCACGTTGACCGTGTAACCATGTTTGCCAAGGTTCAGGCCATCCCTCACGAATGATATATACTTACAGTTGAAAGCTAGTGCAAAACATCTGAAAATAATATCACCCACCGGGTGCACTCGGTCCTTGACCAGGAGCTTCATTTCTTCCTTGGTGACATCGAGGATTCTTGCTGCAATCCACAGCTTGTAGAATGTGTATAGTCCCTCGCATTTGTTCACCATCATACGAATATATTCGTCACGCTCCTCAACCGATCGGAAGGCTCTTGTCCGAACATTCTCCGATTGAGAAATCTTCGTTATTGTTGATGGCAAAAGTATACCTTCCTGATCATGCTCAGTGATGTTGGGGTACCTCCTGAAATCATTGTGATAAGGGCAGCCCGGATTCCCTTCGAGTCCGGCATTCATCGTTCTCTCCTCACCACCTTCAAACATCCCCCACATCTTGGACAGCTGGAGTGCGATAAATCCTGCCATGTACTGAGCCTCACGCGGCTCGTCAAGGCAGATCGCCATCCGTTGGGAACTTATAATGTCCCGTGACGTCAGATCGGTGTCGCGGTAATGCCAACCGCCGTCTTCTTCTTCTGACGCATAGCCGGATGTATATCCTTGCGTGTCCATGTCGTCATCTTCTCCCGGAACTTCCTCCGCTTCGTCCTCATCCTCCTGTGCTGCCGCATCGTGGTTAGCTTCTTCCTGTGCACGCCTGGCATCTCCAGAGACGTTGGGGTTTTGGTTGTCCTCCTCGTCATCGGAATTGATGTGAATGTAGTATCTTCCGATGGAGATCAGTTGTGCCTCGCACTCCAGGCATAAGCAGAAGCAGGTGGGGATCGCGGTCGCACATGATGGACATATCCGGCACCTCAGTCCTTCCCATGTCTCATCATTCAGGATGACGACTTTGCTGACTTCGTCCCGGACCTCGTTGACCTGTGCGTTGAACTCTTCCATCTTGTTGTTTCGATAGAGTTCGCAAGCACGATTAACCATGTCAACGATGTAGTGCAGATTATCGGCACCTGTCTCAGTCTCCGGCATCCTCTCGCTGATCTTTGCGACGTTCTGGAGGAACATCGCAGCCGACTCTTGGGAAGAGTTGACAAAGCCAGGGCAGATCTCGTTCTCCACACACTTCGAGTACGCCCTCTTGATGTCAGCGTACTCCAGGCGCTTCCCTCCGTTGCTTTTGCCAATCCAAATGGACTTGACCTCATAGAACGGGATCACGTCAAAGACCATGAAAGTCCCATTAGCCGCGACTCCAGCCCCATACCGCGCGAGGGTTGCACTGGGAATATAGATGATCGCAATCGGATCCCCTCTCCTCACGTTCCGCAGCGTTGTCTTCGTCGCCACGTTCATCTCATCCCATGGAGCAAACGCCCCGAAGTGCAGTGCTAGCCTGTTACCGCCATCGATTCCGCCGGGGACTAGCCCACAGCGTACGATGCTTGGCAGGTTTTCCACATACGTCACATGGAATGCTCCTCCGAGAGTATCACCCATTCTTGCGGAATACCTATTCGCCAGTGCGGATGAGCTCATGAATCCAAAATCACTGTGACCGGTTGTGACTCGGATGCACCAAGGTCTGTACCATCCATCGCATCTGTTGAACATCCTGTCGATGTCGTCCCGATCCACGCCAGCCTTGGTCATTTCCTCCCTGGCTGCCCTCGTGTCGTTCGGGTTCATGATGCTCGGAAACCTTGCTGCCAGAACCTGGAATCTCGATTTCTTGCTTCCGGATTCCTGCCACTTGATCACCTCCATGATGCCCATGTATCGTTTCGCTCTCGTGGTGTGCGGTGGGAATATGTCGTTGTTCCGGTCGTCAATGACAGCATCAATGTCGACCCATCCACCCTCGTCGCACCTGAAAGCACTTCCTCGGCAATTGCCGATCTTGTGTCGAAGGACTCTGCATAGGTCGTGAGATAGCTGGTTTGCTTGGTCCCTTGTAGTAAATACCGAGCGATCATCACCAATCCTGCATAGTGGAGCACCGTCGAAAGGAGCAATGCAGAAGTTGACACTCTTGCCAAGTTGCATCACGTCCACTTGCTCAAGGATTGCACCTTTGGGAAAGTATTTGGGGTCAACGATGGACGCATACGCCCATGGCAAGTGCACATCACTCACATCGCCATACTTCGGGATGTAGCACGGGATGGTGTCGCATCCCATCTCAAGCGTCTTCTTGAATGTCCTGTTGTCCCCGCACGGGTTGTAGGTGAGGTCGACGCCACCACATTGTAGCTCTCCTCCCTCAGCCGTGTCAGCCATCTCCACCAAATTAATGGTGTAGCTGTACATCTCAATTGTTTCTTTCCCTGCTTGTCCCCCTTTCTTTCTTTCCTTGGACGTTGATGAGGTCGGTTCCTCCGTATCCCCCATGTCTTCATCAGATGAAACAGGGTCACTGCTGAGTAGCTCACGGAGCACCTTCATCGCCTTCTCATTTCCAGCAGCCTCTTCAATGTCCTTGCAGTCGCCGTCGTGGGCCAGGTTTGCGCACTTCTTGCAGATCCCCATATCTCCCATGCACTTCTCCATTGACTCCAGGAATCCTAGTGCCGCTCTCCGCCCGTCGATCACTCGCTGCTTCTTGTCTTCCTTCTCAGCATTGGGCTGAGAACTTCGACTCGGGTCTGGTGCTTGACCAAGACCCTCATCTTCGCCCTCCGTGGCCTTTCTCTTGGAACCTTGTGCAGAGGGCTCGGTGATCAGGGATCGTGGATGTCTGGGCTTGACCTTGTTCATGATGTCAAGCACCTCCTTCGTGGGCACGCCGAGCTGTGCGGACGGTCTGTTCCGCTTTCTGTTCTGGCCCGTCGTGTGGGTCACGTTCCCAGCGAGGTGTCGCACTATTGACTGCTCGAACTCCCTCTTGATCTTCCATGCATCCTTCCACAGTGGCAGTTCGTGCTGGAAGTACGACATCACCTCAAAGAATCCCAACACCATCTCGACGACGTCTCCCAAGGATTCCTCGTTCGTGGTTTGTCCCAGGAGTTCATACATCGTTCCTTGGTCGAGCACACTCTTGATCCATGACGAATA